TGAATCTCTCGTCAACTCTTTGGAAGGGTTTGCAAATTGATCCGTTGGCGGGGTCTTGGATTGCATTTCAATAAACTTTTTCAACATCTCCTTCAAGCTCTCGAATCGGTTGTCAATAGAGGTAACTTTTCCTCTATCCGGATTTAAGTTGCCGCACTTCTTCCTTCAACTTCTTTTACAAATCGTCTATTTTCTTGGCCGCCATTATTTTTTGTCACTAGGACCCCTCAATCCCAAATCTGGTCGCTGACTTCTAGGTCACTATTAGGGCACGCCCAATCTCATCGCAGTCTGCCCCACTACCCTTTAATTCCTTTTGTTTCCCAGATAACTCGAACCACAATTTTATCACAAAGCTTTGGTAATGGCCCTATACGATCCCGTTGTTGCTTTCCTAGCAAGCTCTAACTGTGTCTGTATCACACGATTGAGGAGATGGAGTTTTATGTCTTTGTGCGCCACTTCCCAGTAGCTGCCCTCCCAGCTAGCTCTGATCGCGATTGTATTGCATCCTTAGAGCGGGAGCACGCGAAAGATAGAGTTTTGGGTCTCGGTAAGCTAGGATTCTTCGTGTCAGAGCCTTTCCAGCTAGCTCTGATCGCGATTGTACACGAAGACGGCGTAGGAGGAGGTGAAAGATGGAGTTTCAGGTCTATGTACAGTGCTTCCCAGTTCTTGCCTTCTCAGCTAGCTCCGATAGCTACTGTATCACATAGATGGTGTGGGAGGAAGAGAAAAATGGGAGTTTCAGATCTGTATTGATGATCTTGACTACAACGTCCTAGACTCATTATTCATGCACTAGGGCATGCTGGATCAATCGATCAATCACTCTATATGCGTCGCCTAGTAAGCCGTGATTTGCTTTAGCTTTCGTTGAGTCGATTGATCCTCTCTTCTTTTGTCAATCCAATTTCTAGAATCTTGAGCTCTGATAGCAGTTTGATACAATTCAACTTTAAAATTGACACACTTTTTCACAAAAATTAGGGCAAAACCAATTTTCTTCTTTAATAATCTAAAATAACACAAATACAAAGAAAAACACTTACAATACTAGAGGTAGACAATCTTTTCCTATTTCTACAATTTGAGAGGCAAAAAATCTCTCACAACTCTAAACCTACGACTCACCAAAAAAATTTCTTGTATAAGCCTAAATCTAAACATAATAAGCCTATTTATACTCAAGAATAATAAAAATAAACAACTAAATTGCCCTTGAGTGTACAAAAGACTAAATTGCCCTTAGGCTAGGCACTGGCGTAATATATGCCTAACATTTTAGTTCATGGAATGAGTTATGATGTAATCCTTGTTTTGGTTGATAGGTTAATCGCTGTTTGGTTGATAGGTTAATCGCTGTTTTTCTAAAATGTGTTGTGAGATATGTACTTCCTGACATAAAAAATAAAATCAAAGAACACAAACAAACTCAGATCGTTTACGTGGTTCGATCCAACTGGATCTACGTCCACGGAAAGGAATCAATCAAATAGTTCACTAAGACAAAAGAAACGGAGAATACATAACTTATACATAGAGATGAGCCCTCATCTTCCTTCTATGACCTCCCTCTCAAGCGACACCTTGATATAAGGCCTCAAGATGCTGTCCTCCTCTCTAGCTCTCTAGCTATTCTCTCCTCTTTTGTGGTAGCTTAAGATCTCTTCCCTTTGCTCTCCTAGGCCTCACACCCTCTCTATTTATAGAAGCAAGAGAGTAGTAGGTGGGAGGTAGGTGAGCGGTAGGTGAGCGGTAGGTGAACGGTAGGTGAGATGTGGTAGGTGAGCGGTACCACATTACAAAAGTGTCCTTTTACCTTAGTTCATTAATTGGGGGTCAAAATAACAAAATGTTTATTAGGACATAGTTGTAAGGTTTTTATTATTCACATAATATTATTTCTATTATGAGAGATTTTATTACGTGAAGAAAAACGATTAAAATATTTTTATGAACTTATATAAGGATAATTTTATTTTAGGTTCATTGTAGAGGAATGTCAATTATCTTAAATAACAGTGATGCCAACAATCAAATACAAGGATGTTCTATAAAATTTCATCACAAGGAAATGTTATTTTCCACTTCAATGCACTGTGCCTTAGTTTATTTTTGGGCTAATCGTTTGTGATATTTTTCTAAGTATGGGGTGAAAGTGTGCTAAAAATCAATCTATTTAAGGAAAGCTTACAGAACAAATTTATTCTTTTGGCTATAAAATTCAAGAGCTTGCTGCTTAATTTATTTCGTTGAATAAGTATGCGAGATGTTTTGTCACTGTAGCCATGTTTTTGAACTTGACATGCGATAATTTAATCAGCTGTGAGTTGACATGACCCATGTTGATACTCATGATCATCTTGTACTGCCTTGCATTAACATCCTTATCTTTTGGACTCGAACTAAACTATGGTATCACCTGAAGTAGTTTAGCAATCTATCATACTACCAAACAAAATGCCAGTTCTATTGTACGAACACATCTTCGACTATAATACTACAACAACAACGACAAAACATTTATCCCACTAAGTGTGGTCGGCTACATGATTCTTTTTCTCCATTGCGTCAATTCTTTTTCTCCATTGCGTCCTATTTAGTGCCATATTTTCATTTAATTCTAATAAATTATGATCAATTTTATACAATATGCCCTAGTCTTCCTAGGTCTACCTCTACCTTTCTTAACATAAGTCGAATCTAAAACTTCTACTATTCTAATCAGATCGTTAGATGGTCGACGTTTAATGTTACCAAACCATCTAAGCAGACTCTAATTTTGTTCGTTACTGGAGCTGCACCAAACCTATCACGGATATATTCATTTCGCATTTTGTCTCTAAGTGTAAAGCCACTCATCCAAATCATTCTCATCTTGGCAACACTTAACTTGGATTTATGCTTCTTTTTTAAAGGCCAGCATTCGACGCCATAAAGCATTGCAGGTCTCACTACTATTTTATAAAATTTTCCTTCCCGTCTAAGCGGTACTTTTCTATCACACAACAGGCCTGAAGTATTTCCCCACTTCAAACAACCAACTTGAATTCTACTAATAACATTCCCATCAGTGTCACCATCACTTCGAACAATAGACCCAAGATATCTAAAGCGTTAACGCTTTTTAATAATTTGATCTCCCATACTTACATTTCTGTCACTAGATCTACTACTACTAAAAACATATAGACAATAATAGAGTATCTATATGACAATAGAGTACAGACAGCTTTCTCCTGATATATATTCATCTGCGATGGTATTTTAAGCATCAGAGAAAAGCATATATGAACATTTGAATGAAATAAAATCATATACTATTGGCTGCACTATCAAATGAGACAGCATACTTCACTCGGCTCATTCCATTTCAATTATGCTAATGTATAGGTAGTTCCATTATTCCATGATAATTTAGCCTTTTTCATTGCACATTTAACTTTAGATGTGCTTTTCCTACTTGATGATCCATGGTTGAATGACCTGGATTCATTCTTTTGCCTTATTTGATTGATTTCGGAATGTATTCATGTATTTACATTCAAAAGATTTGTTCATACACTCATTCTAGTAGCTGTTAAACCGAATGGCTTTTAATTATTTGTTATGAAAATGAGTTTTATTATTTACTTGCACTTCAGAAATTTGTTTTAAAATTAAACAGATATAGTTAATGCTTGGACATTTTAATAACATTCATATTATATAGAATATAGCTCTTGATACCTCATAATAAGAAGCCACACAATCTTCATTGCAACTTTTATTAGAAATGATTTCATTTTTTATGTTTTGTTGATTTCTGTCTTTGCAAACATTGTATTGACAGAAATCTGTTTTTAAAAAATCTTGACAAAACTGAAGCACTTGAAAGACTGAATGGTTAATAAATTAGAGTGGTGATAGTCAGTTCTTATTTTTTCTTCAAAATTTTGGTTGCTCCCAATTTATCAAATATGTTTCCTATTTTATGAAGTTTGTTCTTTAATTAGTGTTAGGAAAATTTCTTTTTTTTAATAAATTATTTCATCTTTGATAATTTAATTTATAATCTTTTTTGTGTGGTGGTCCCCATTTAGTTGGATTTTACTTTGTTTATACTGTTTCCTTATAGAATATAGTTTTTGCTAGTCTTCTCTTCTTGTTTACTAATTATGCCAATGAGAGTTTCCACCATGGAAATACTCTTTTAAAGCTGGGATATTTTGGTCCTTCAATTGGAGTAATTGAGTTATTTTCTTTTTAAGAAACCTTATACTCTTTAAATACTTCAAATTAGTAAGTATTCATTTGATTCATAGTTACCAGAATAATTTTTTTATTCAATAGCAACGCAATGTAATGTTGAGTTTGAGTTAGTGTTATTTCACTCAATAAATAAAAAAAAATTAATATTATTTTACATGATTAATAATGACTTCAATCTTTTTTTCCTAGTCATTTCTACTTTGCCTAATATTTTTGTATGATCTTTTTTCATCATTTATACTTATCATTAGCTAATATAGGTTAGCCATTTGTCCTAATAATTGAATTTATTGTCATTTACGAAGATATCAACAAATAAAAAAACTCTTAGAAACCATAAATTTACATAGAAAATATCAATGAACCAAGTAGAGGCTCACTTTCCTATGTAGATTATGGATGCGTTTGGGGCAGTTTGTGCTTATCCAGCAGTTATCCAGCAGCACAAGCTATACAAATGCAATTTCCAGATAAGCTGCTTATCTGGAAACGCGAACAACGGCGTTCAACCCGTGTTCCGCGTTTAGTATAAAAAATTAACTGCGTTTTCAGATAAGCTGCTCAAATGCAGTTTCCAAACAGTGCACGGCCGCAGCGGATAGCTGCCCCAAATGGAGTCTATAACTGGCGGCGTTGCTTTGTGACTAATTCCTCAATTGCATCAGTCAGCAGCAAATGCGCATCTCATACAGAATCGATGTATTTCCGTTCTATTTGTGCTCTAAACCAAGTATCATTCGTTGCAGATTCGATTGGCAGAAGGCCAACTAAAAGGAGACCAGCTAAACATGAAGCCGGAGCAGATCGAAAAACTGTCGAAAATTGGAGCCTGGCATGAGGAACTCAAATTATTGGAGGAAAAGAGAACTAATCTGCCAACATGAGAAACATCTCTAAGCTTGGGTACTAATTTTGCAGCTTCTGCTAGATTCAATTACTCAGTAGATGTTGTTATCTTAATTTTTATTATCATTTAACCCATTTATGGGATACTTTAATAACTTAAATTAGATGGCAAATTTTCATAATGTATTAGAACTACACTGAAGAATATATGCTAAGTTATGGTGTCCTTTGTATCATTGTCTCAATGATTGTAGCTTCAATTTTAATTATTGGGTTGGCCTTTGTATTCTTTTAAAATACATCATCATCATCATCATCATCATCATCATCATCATCATCAAAGTTTGGGTTGGTAGATATGTATTAAAATATTTTGGTTGCTTTACAATAATATTTCAATTAACATATGTATTTGTATCTAATTAAAATTTTATCAATTTTTAATTATTTTATTTAAAATATAATCAAAATAAATTAGATCAATTAATTTTATTTATCTCAATTACATTAGTTATTAATGAATGGTTTAAAAATCCTTTAACATTTTGTATTTGTATCTAATTTATTTGATAAATTTCTACAAATTATAATTTATAATGTTCTGTTAATAGAAACTAGATTTATTCATTAATACACAAATAATATCGAGTAGTTTTTAATTATTGAATTGATTAAACACTAAGCACATACTTAAACAACTTCAAGGTAAATAATAAATTAATGATGCTAATGTATGTTTTTTAAATAATATATTTACATTAATATATTTTGTAAATGTCAAATTCTAATTAATTTATAGCATCAATTTAATATTAGTTATTCTAAGAAAATTTTTATCAATTTTTAATTGTTTTATTTAAAATATAATCAATATAAATTAGATCAATTAATTTTATTTATCTCAATTACATTAAATATTAATGGATAGTTCAAAAATCCTTAAGTTTTCTCCATCCAAAAGTGAGTGGCAATGATTGCTAGTTGAAGAGTGCTACTATGAGGAATTCAAATGTGGAAGTTCATAAATGCAAATAACATACAATCAGCCTAAAAATGTGGTGGGGTGTGTTTTTCTTACTAGAGAGAATGGTTTTAGGGATCCCAAAATATATTTTTCTTTAGTTTTATTTATGTACATCTTAGAAGAAAATAAAAAAAAAAATTGAAAAATTTTAGTTTTAAAAATTAAATTAAATAGATTAAAAAATATTTTCATGTTATTAAGTATAATTTGGACCATTTAAACAACTTAATTAATAATAATATCACTACTATTATTATTGAAATTGAGAAAAATAGCATTCTCTCACTTGGTCAAAATATATTATCTCATATTTATTATTAGTTGTAAGTAGAATATCATTTACATATGAGAATTAAAAAATATCCCTATAACATTTTATTATATACATTGATCTATCATATTCTTTATAAATCCAAATGAAGGGATTATATCATGAAATTTGAAATATTGTTTATTAGAGGCCTATTTCATTCCATATAGATTTTTTATGCTTGCATGCCAAATGCTTGTTATCTTTAGAAGAGTATGCATCCGACTATTTCATATAAACCACCACATCTTGATCTTCATTAAGAAATATCATTTTCATTTCTATATGCTACTATTTGCTGCAAGTCCAAATTGAAGTATTCAACTAGTGTCACAATTATTCAGAAAGAATCTTTTTTATATGCAAAAGAAAATTTCTCCTTCTAATAAATTCGTTCTTATTGAGTGAATCCTTGACAATGAGAGTATTTTTTATTTTATTGATGCGTTTATAATCTATGACTTCTACACAATTAAACAACTTTTGTAATATTTTGGACTCTATTATGTGTCATAGAATTCGTCTCATTTTTTTATCGTATCAGAGCAGATTACTGCCAGTCAGGTATGTGGACTCTCCATGGTCTAGTGGGACCCTCGGTGGAGCCAATCTGTGACAAGGGCGTCACGTGATTGAGTGGAGGAGAATGTCACAGACAAAAAATCCCATATCGGCTAGGTGTTGGGCCGAAAAATAATATTTAAGTCTTGGGCTGCTCACCACCCCTAAGAGCTCTTTTGGGAGGTGACAAGTGGTATTAGAGTCGATTACTGCCTACCAGGTGTGTGGACTCTCCATGATCCAGTGTAACCCTCAGAGGAGCCGATCCGTGACAAGGGTGCCACGTGATTGAGTGGAGGAGAATGTCACGAACAAAAAGTCCCACATCGGCTAAGTGTAGGGTTAAAAAGCAATATTTAAGTCCTGGGCTGCCCACCACCTCTAAGAGCTCTTTTGGGAGGTGACAAATATCTTTTTTTGTGTTATAAAATATCTTAAAGAGATCATATTACTCTGAAAGCATGTTTAAAATAAAGTACACAAAAAAACCCACACATATCAACTTTAAGTGTCTTCAAATGTGGTGTAACATCTCGCATTTACATAATATACTCTCCCAAATCATTTTTCTAGTTAAATTCATAGCTAAGATATTCATAATTTAGGGATTAGCAAGAGCTTTTTTTGAAATGCTAAATTATTCACCAATTAACTAAGTAGCCCTCTAATATTGTTGTACAGATTGACTGAACCACAATACTAGTAGATACTTTTTAATCATCAAAATTAAACTAGGAATCCCAAAAATTATGACAAAAAGTAAGTTAATTTATATCCTTCAAGAAAACTTCATCTTGAATAAGGTATTATGCTCATCTTTTAGATGTCAAAGAACTAAGATTAGGACAAATCTTCTGTGGCTCCTTGAGGATTATGGATTTATCAGACTACATAGAAAGGATATGCTGAATAGATTGTATGAATAAGATCTTGGTTAGGTTGTGTTAAAGGAAAAACTTATGCTGATGAGGAGGGGACCCTCTATGGGCATCTTTAAATTGACCATCCCTAATTTTAAGTTAATTTTTTGATAAGTGGACTCCATCATACTTTATGCTAGCCAAATCTTTCTAAGAATTAAATGTTTTGAACATGATGCTGCTCCAACATGAAAATGTTATCATCTAAAATTTAGCTTGAGACGCCTTTAACATCTCAATAATAACATATCAAATTAAATGATTGATTTTCATACTGAAGCGTACAGCTACGGAAGATCCTATTATTATGGCTATTCTAACTGTTCATAAAACAATTCTTTTTTTCATAAATAGCATCAAACTATTAGGTGATTAATTTAATGAGCATCTCAACCAGAGGAATTCAACAAGCCTCAAAGATATTATAATTTTAATATTATTCAAATATTTAGTTGCATGTAGAATAGTTTGTCATTCCATAAAATATTTAGACTATGACAATCAAACATTATTCTAAAAAGCTATAAATAAGCCCCAAATATTATGTCTTTCACCAATTGACTCAAACACATGCCATCACCCAACTATTATTTCGTAATGCTAATACTATTGTTACTGAGTGATCATTTTCTAATCAATGACTGGTACTAATTTCCATCATAAGCCAATTGTACGATCTGGAAATGTGTAAGATAATGTATTTTACACCTTCTCAACTGCAATAGACTAGAAGCATATTTGAATTACTTGCTATTATGATTTATTCATACGCATAAACATTGGCCGGCACAATAATTTAATAGACAAGGATGCATATTATATAATATGGAATACACAAGATGCCTCATTGTGAGGAATTTTTAACAAGTGTTAATTTATATTTTTAGTTATATAATTGATGTCGACTAGAGAATTCGCGACGTTAGAGTAATATATTATTATGTTAGCATTGCATGAAGATTCAACATATACTCAAATGAAAAAAAAAAATTAGTTGAGACACTAGAAGTTTTTATGTGGAAAATTCATAAAAGGAAAAAACCACGCACTCGGGTGAAGATAACTTACGATAAATTGAAGATTACATGTAAAATCATTTGTCCCACGGACGGGATAGTGTTACACAATCATTCAATTTTTAACATTGGTGCGCGAAGGATCCTGTCGCAAGGAATGGGCGGCGGTCAATGGTGATCGACGACGGATGGTGAGTAGTGGAGGATGGTGGCTGGTGGATCGATGGTTGGAAGAGTGATGCTAGAATTCAAGCACTCCCTTCAGACTTCAAGCACCACTTTTAGAATTTAAGCTCTCCTTCAGACTTCAAGCTCTCTCTTTAGACTTCATGAGAAAGATGGGGCTTTATTTATAGCGTCTCGGTTGCAATCAATTAAGAAAAATGAAATATTCTGATCGAACGGCCCGTAGAGATTACATCAATCAAACGACATTTAATAGAAAATTTGAGTGACATAATGATGTCATAATTGAGCAATCTTGAGCTTGTTGGATTCATCTTGTTGAGACGCTCAACTCGACTATAAGCTCGCCCAACTCATAACCGTTTGACTTTCTAAATATGCATCTAAAGCCTCTAAAAGCAGTTTAACTGAGTTTGAGCCTGTTTGTTCGGTTGTAAATTTGCTGAAATCAGAGCTCTCGATAAATTTTAATTGAAGTTTGAAAATTTCTTATTTAAAAAGATTATTTCAAGCTGTTATGCTTCAACATTTGTGCCAGATAGTGGGAATTTGTTGTTGTAGTAATAAAGACAATTTTTAATAAATATTGTTTTATTAAATGGTCTTGCCTTCACTTGCCACATGTCAGAATAATGCGGCCAATACCATGATTTCATACGATTATAAAAATAAGTTTCAAATAATATAAATAATTAGAGACCTGAGCTTTATTTCAGGCCTCAATTAAGCTCAGGCAGCTTCCCTAACACTTGATTATCTGAACTAAACAATAGATTTATGTTAATTAAGGACCAACTAATTAAATTTGTTCATATATGCTTCATTACATTATTAAGGGTCATATTTATAAAATTATTAATTTGATATTTTTACTTTTTTTTTGTGGCTCATTTATGCTATAAGTTTGAAGTTTATTTATTTATTATTTTAAATGAATCACCTATGCTTGGTGCTGCATTTAAATCATATATAGATTTACTTTAAATTTAGGCAGTTCTTTTTTACATGTCTACCCCCCAAGTCCTATAGTTTTGGCATAAATTAGGTGATATGTAGGTTAAAGTTAAAGTTTAGGTTGACATGTTAATCTCCTAAGAATGTAGATGTTTTTATATATATGACACCAAAATATTATCAAGTATCTCACACCTTACAGTTTAATATTATGAAATCAACATTTTTGTTAATGCCTCCACCCCCGACATCTCCTTCTCTG